GAGCGAGAGACAGACAGACAGCGAAGCAGATGGCCGCGCGAGGGGGCGGAGTCCCGGCGGGGCGTGGACGTCGCGAGCTCGACGGAGCCAATCAATTCCCTTAGCTCCTCTGGGGCTAGAAAACAAGTGTAAACACATAGATTGACTACCCACGAGCGGTCCCTAGTTTAGGGTAGTAAAGTTGGTTTTCTTTCGATAAGAGAGCGCATTTTTAGCGTAGGTTGGAAAGCCGACAGTCCGCAGTAACTGGCACGGGGAGGCGGTTTGCGGGGCTCTGCCGGGGGGTGGGAGCGGGGGCGGGGGGCGCTGGGTCAACCTCTCCTCAAACTCTCCCGGCGTCGGGCCAGCCGTGGGGAAGCCGCGAATGCGCGAGGCGGGTGAAGGCGGAGGATGGGTGAGGAAGGAAGGGGCTGGGAAATGGGAAGAGGTCACTCTGCCTCGGAAACTACATAACGACTGGGAAGGACCTCCAAACAAGACTGGAACCAGTAGGAAGTTGTACAGTGTAAGTACATAGTTCCTCAGGAGTTCGGTGTTCTTACACCCCGAGCTAAAGGTTTCAAATCAAGTTCTAAGTATATAAATATGGTTATATATATATATATATATATATATATATATATATATATATATATATATAACTAAAGAACCCAAGTGGTCATAGTGAAAATGTAAAACTGGTAAATGCCTGTAACCAGCTCACCAGGAGGAAAGTCATTTATTCTCTTTTCACCACGCACTAGGGTATTTCTAAGAGGATGACAATCTGTATATGGTTTTCTCTAGAAAAAGAATGATTTCTTTAGGATACCTCAAAGTTATTTTCTCCTTAAAATGTTAGCAGTAGAAGGGAATTTTTAGATAGTTCCCCAAATTCCTTGAGGGCCTGCTGTATCCCTCAAGGCCTTGTTTTCCCATCAGTGAACAAGAGAGATGCAATGCAATCTTTGGCCTCCAGGAGCTTACTTTCTTTTTCTGGCCGCGTGGCTTGCTGGATCTTAGTTCCCCAACCAGGGATTGAACCACTTCCCTGTAGTGGAAGCCTGGAGCCCTAACCACTGGACCGCCAAGGAATTCCCTAGGACTTTGCATTTTAGTAGATTGCTTTAGGTGAATTGGATTATCTAGTTTCATCTAGTCTCTTACCAGATGAAGAAACAGTCCCGGGGAAGTTGCCAGATTATGTCAGTTGGTAGAGCCAGGGATAGAGTCGCCCCCTTGATGATTCCACATCTCCGTCTTCTTCCACTTCTCCCGGTGCTGACTAACCTTCCCTTGATGGCACAGATTCATTGGATAGGCTGGTTATTCATAACTAAATTATTTATTCGGCTCCTGCTAAGTACTAGGAAGGGGCTAGACATCAGTTGACACCAGGGAAGAGGATGAACATGTCTGTCCTCTCATGTAACTTCCACTTCGCATTATTATCTCTTAAAATTTCTTAGAATATGAAGAAAGAGAACAAAGGATGGGATTAACTGTGTTCTTAGAAGAAAGCAAACAAACAAAAAAACAATAACAAAGATGCGGGCCACTTTCTAGATTCCAAATTAAATATACCTTTTTCATTTGAAAGCATTCATTCAACATTCATTCATTCACAAAGTACAAGATCGCACTGTGTTAATGGTGTGGTGCTCCGTTTTTCTTTCTTTCTTTTTTTTTTTTTTTTTTGCGGTACGCGGGCCTCTCACTGTTGTGGCCTCTCCCGTTGCGGAGCACAGGCTCCGGACGCGCAGGCTCAGCGGCCATGGCTCACGGGCCCAGCCTCTCCGTGGCATGTGGGATCTTTCCAGGCCGGGGCACGAACCCGTGTCCCCTGCATCGGCAGGCGGACTCCCAACCACTGCGCCACCAGGGAAGCCCTCCGACTTTCATCTTAGCTTTTATATTACCTGAACTTTAATTCCACAGAAATTAATGTGGAATACAGTGTGGAGCAAAGCAGACACAGCCCGTCATTCATTCAACAGGTATTTATTGATTTCCTATCATGTGCTAGGTATGTGGAACATATCAGTGAACAAAAGAGACAAGAACTCTTTATGGAGCTTACATTCTAGAGTAGGGAGAAAACAAACTTTCATAAATGTAAGTAAGCAGATTATATGGAATACCAGTAGTACGTAAGTGTTGGGGTGGGGGCAAAGTAAGGGGGATATGAGTGCAGGGTTGAAATTCTATATAGGTCAGGGAAGGCCTCACTGAGAAGATAAACTTTGAGCAGATTTGAGGAGGTGAGAGAATTGATCAGGTGCACCTAACCTAGCAAGAGAAGGAGAAATCAGAGTTGAACAAAAAGATCACAAATAGATAAGTCATTATAAATAATCATATGTGTTCTGAAGGGAAATGTAGGGTGCTATAAGATAGTCTAATTTAGTTAAGAGGGTTTCAGAGGGCCTTTTAAAGGAGTGACATTTTAAGAGGAAACCTAAAGGATAAGTAGGCATTAACCAGGTAAAGTGGTGGAAAATTGTATTCAGATGGAGGAAAGCCCCTGAGGAGGGAAGAGTTCAAATGGGTTTGGGGGGAATGTCAAGAGATTGGTTTGGCCATATTTTTGGGTGCCTATAAAATGTTCTAGTGGAAAAGTTAAATGTGCAGGTGTAGGAGTCTGGAGCTCAAAGACTGGTTTGGAATGCAAATATAGATATATGATCATTCCAGATGTCAATATTTTCTGAAGCCAAGTCATGAAAGTATACAAAGAGAGTGCAGAAATACCTAAATACCTAAATAACTCTAAATACCTTCTGCCTTAAGAGGCTGGGTAGATATTTGTCAATTATACCTTAATAAAGTATAACATAATAT